GCACCCACCCACCGGTCCCACAAGGGGAAACGCCCGATATTGTTTGTCCTCAGGCGCCGGTCCCAGGCACCCGCCCACCACTCCTGCGCCCTGCCTCCCTAGCACTGGGGTCCCCGTCCCTCCAAGGCCTGCAAAAATCACTTGCCAAAAAAAAAGGGGAAAACGCGCAACCCTCTCCGTCCCCAGGCACCGGTCCGAGGCACCCGCTCACCGGCCCTGCCTCCCTGGCACTGGGGTCCCTGTCCCCGTAAGACCTCCATAAAGCACTCACAAAAAAGAAAAAAAACAGGGAGAAAGGCGCCATTTTCTTTGTCCTCAGGCGCCTGTCCCAGGCACCCACCCACCGATCTTGCTGCCCTGACTCCCTGGTATTGGGGTCCCCTTTCCCTCCAAGGCTTCCAAAAAGCACTTGCCAAAAAAGAAAAGGGAAAAATGTGTGATTTTCTTTGTCCTCAGGCACTGGCCCCAGGCCCCCGCCCACCGGTCCCTCCTCCCTGCCTCCCTAGTATTGGGAAAAACGCGTGATTTTTTTTTGTCCCCAGGCACTGGTCTCAGGCACCCACTCACCAGTCTTGCTGCCCTGTTTCACTGGTATTGGGGTCCCTCTCCCTTTAAGGATTCCAAAAAGCACTCGCGAAAAAGAAAAAAAAATAGGGGAAAAACGTGCGAGTTTCTCTGTCCTCAGTCGCCGGTCTCAGGCACCCACCCACCGGTCCCGCCACTCTACCTCCCTGGCATCCGGGTCCCCGTCCCTTTAAGGCTTCCAAAAAGCACTCACCAAACGCCGGTCCCAGGCACCCGCTCGCCGGTCCTGCTGCCCTGCCTCCTTAGCACCGGTGTCCCTGTCCCTTTAAGGCTTCCAAAAAGCACTCACCAAAAAAAAAAAAAACCGCTCCGGTTTCTTTCCACCTGCCGGGAATCTGGGGGAGGCGTGCTCGGGTCCCGCCGGGCCGTGGCTTGTATTGTACCCCCTTCGCAGGGCGCTGGGTTCTTGCAGGTGTGGATGTGGTCTGGATGTTGTCCTGTGTCCTCTGGTCTCTATTTTAGGAAGTGTTTTCTTTGTTATATTTTCATAGATCTATGTGTTTTTGGGAGGAGATTTCCACTGCTCTACTCACGCTGCCGTCTCGGCTCCCTCTCCTAGATGGATTTTAAAGGATGGCTTGTTTTCTGTGTCCTACGGCCCAGAATCTGCATCAGGTCCTTCAGTGATAGTTCTCCCCACCATGGGTCATTTTGTTGGATGTGTGGTTTCCTCCATTATCATATCTCTGTCTCTTCTGCAATTTTTGAATGTGATCTTTCTATCCCTCCTTTTGAAGAAGGTGTTCACTCAGTCCTCGGATCTTCCTGAATCTGAATTGTTTTCTGTGTAGGTGTAGATTTGGTGTGAAGGTGGGAGGAGGTGGGTTTAAGCTCTCTCTATGCTGCCATCTTCCAGAAGCCATCAACTTATTTTTTCTAATAAGAACAGAGATGGCAGTAGAATTGTAGTTGTTATCCATGTTGTTAGGTTTTTTTCATATAGTTTCACAAGTACAAGTTATTTTAGTGTACAAAGTGTCATGATTGTGATGTCTCAGCATAATTTGAAATTACTAAAATATGTAAATATGTTGGTAGATGACATTTATATTTGGACCTACATAACTATATATTTTTCCATTATTTATTGACAGATATGTTTAAAGGGTAAAGTACACATCTTTAAATACTTAAATATTCAAGCATGTTGCAGAATGGATAAGAAACCAGATTCTCTGGATCTTCCACCATTGAGTAAAAGAATGCCCTCCCAGCCTCTCACAGACAGGTAATAACAATATTCTTACAGTTTCTTTGCTTGATAATTGGTGTCTTCTCTTTATATTAAAGATATTTATTAATCTTGAATGTACTGAATATATTTAGGCTGATTAGCTCATTGTTAAAATCAGTAATTGACTGAGGGGAAATACCATCATTTTAGAATGAACTGTGAAACTAGAATACATTTGGGATTTTCTTCAAAAAACTCTTTATTTTTAAAGGTTTAGTGGTAAAACGTATTGATGTTATAAAGTGTTTGACATTGTAGTGCAGAAGCACTAATTTCTCAGCACTTGAGAACTGTTATTTTTACTCCTGTGATCACTCTTATACATTTGTAATATGTAGGATTTGAGTTTGAAGTGAGGTTGGTGGAAGAACAAGACATTTTGGAGTACCTTTCTTCCTTCATATTCTTGATGTTCTTTATGTTTGGATCAAATATGATTTATCTTTGATGTACTGTATAATATTGATATTTTTCTCCTCATGAGATTTTGAAATGGTTGATGTTATATTCTGTTTTTAATTCATCCTTTTGGGATGTAGATTGCTCTGAATGAGTTTATGGAAACATAATTCCATCCAGTAGTACAGAGAATCATTTGGAATGGGGAAAGACAACACGTCTGCCTAAAATGTTTAAAAGTTTGTCATTTATATTTATGACAAAGTGTAGACTACTTGAAATGACAGTACATTAAATACTATTTTTAGTTGTGCAAGTTCTTGAATTCCTAAATAGGACTTTTTTCTTGAGTATTTCTGTTGACTAAGTAGAATTAAGTATCTAAATATTAAATTTAGTTTCTATAGATTACTTTTTTAGTATTATGAATGATAGTAGACCAAAGAATTCTACAAAAATTAGACTTTAATCGTATTGTAATCTTTATTAGTCTTCTTTATATTTATTGTAAAGTGAACTTTAGTAACAATATTCATTATATTTTGTCATTTATGTATTTTACAAATATTAGTCAAATGCATAGTAGTAGGTGCAGGGTATGTTCTGATGAATGTCAGACACATTGATCTTAGCCTTTATGGAGCTCACAGTCTAGTGGAGGAGAAGTCAATCAATAAACAAAGTAAGGAAATATAATATACAAATACACAGTTTCAAATTGTGGTGGGTGCTATGAGGGAAAGGAGCATGTTTTAAGAGCATGGTAAGGGACTGTCTCTTTGGAAAGATGAGGTTTTAAGTTAAGACCTGAATTGTGAAAAGCTAGCTGTGTAAAGAGTGTGTGGGAGAGCATTTCAGACAGAAAGGATGACAAGTGCAAAGGCCTTAAAAGTAAGAAGCTTGGTGTGTTAAAAAAAAATCAGAAATCCAACACAGTTGGAGCAGAGTGGCTAAATGGTACAAATTGATTTTGGAGAGGTAGTCAGGGTTCAGATCATGTGGGGGCTTTGGAAGCTGTGGTAAGGAGTTTGAATTTTAGTTAAAGTACAGTGGGAAGTCATTGGACAGTTAGAATCAGGGGAAAAACATGATCTGATTTATGTTAAACAAAACTGTTTTGACTCTTACAGGGAGAATAGATGGGAAGTAAACAAAAGTAGAAGCACAGGGACTAGATTGTTGCAGTACTGCTAAGAGATCAGAGAGTCTTGAACAGGGTGCACTAAGGAAGGAGTGGACAGAATTGAGAGATATTTTGGAGATGGTCTCTAGCAGTGCCATCCAAGAGACATGTAACATGAGCATGTGATTTTAAATTTTCTTGTAACCCATTTAAGGAAGAAGTGAAAATGAAACAAGTGAAATTAATTCTAATAATAGTGTTTTTAATTCAGTATATCCAAAATATCATTTTGACATAATTAAGACAAAAAGTCAGTGAGGTGTTTCACATTGTTTTTCTTCCTATTAAATCTTTGAAAACTGTTATGTATTTTACATTTACACCATGTCTCAGTTTGGAATAGCCACATTTCAAGTGCTCTATAATGATGTATAGCCAGTGGTTACTGTACTGGGTGTTGCAGATCAATAGAGTTTACTTGGGTGTTGCTTCTTAGGTTTGCTAATTTCTCACTCACAGCCTATAGGGAACTACTTGGAAATTTCTTGTATGTATTTTCCACTTTCACACTCATTTTATTGGCTACATAGTTCTTAACCACCTAAAATAGCCTTCCATGCCTTATTTTGTAAACTATTTATTCTACATAGATAGGCATTATAGTAGTTAAGTGTATCAGCTTCTGGAGTCAGATATAATATGCCCATGAAGCCCTTCTCCAACTCTGAATAACTTTTATGTTCTTGTATCAGCATCTCTCGTCCTCAGTTTTCTTATATGTAAAAAGGAAAATAATCATATGGATGTCATCAGGGTTAAATGAAATAATACTATATAGAGTACTTAATACAATGCCTTACCCATAATAATTTCTCAACAAATAGCTGATTACTGTCATCACTTATTAAAATGTGGATGGGTGTATTTTAGTATGAATGTGGATGTATTACTGTGCAGTGGAATCAGATGGATTTTGCCTCTAATCATGGTTTAAACCTCTTAATTCTTCTGTGGCCTTTGTAAATTACTTAATCGCTCTGAGCCTGTGTCTTTATTTAAAACATTAATAGTACCTGCTTCATAAGCTTATTGTGAAAATAAAATGTGTGTTTTTATCAGCTAGTTCAATAAGTGTATTCAGTAAATGTTAGTTTTTTCCCATGGGAAGTTAACTTTATTATCATTTGTAAAAAGAAATAATGCATACATTACAGAAGGTAAGGGTTATTATAAATAAAATATGAGGTGCACCTGACAAAGTACCTAACAGTGTAGACATTTGACAAATGCTAGCAGTTATTGCCTCTCTTTATGTTCCAACACTAAGCTCAAATGCCACTTTCTTTGGTGAGGCTCTTCCTACCTTACAAAGGAGAATTAGTTGAGTTCTTTTTTCTAATAGCACTGTACATTTACCTTTGTCATAGCATTCTAAACAGAAACACATACTTCCCCTATGGGCTAAAGGCCCTTTGAGACCAAACATTTTTTAATTCATTTCAAGTCACGCATTCAGCATAGTGCCTGACACTTCGTACTTGCTTCCCTGAGTTCATTGATATACTCCTGGTAAGCATATAAATCATTATTTGGGGGAGGAAATACAACATAATGATGAAGATCAGGGAGTTTAGTATTAAATCATCTTGGGATCACTTGTAGACTTCCATTTGCAAGTTGTGTGTAACTGGGTGAATTGTTCAACCCCTCCTGCCACCAGTTTCCTCATCTGTAAAATGAGAAAATACTACCAACATGCTAGAGTTTTAATAAGGAATGTATGAGGTATTATCATCTTTAAAGCACTTAGCCCAATTCCTGGCACATAATAAGAAGTGGTAAATGTAGAGTATATGGTAAGCGTGCAAATTAAAGTGAAAAATGCTTTACAACCTTAATGGCATACTATTAATTCAGAAATTTGTAAAAAATAGCTCTATTTTCACAATAAAATAGTTTCATTCAATGCTTTGCAGGCTAAACTTTTGCATTTTTTCTTAATTATTAGATGAATGTTACTTATAAAGCTAATGCATAATTTTAGAGCTAATGAAGAAAGAACTATGAATTAAAGTTAAAAATATTTCAACATTCTATTGTGAAATTTGTTAAACCAATGAGAAAAATGGAAAGGTCTTTTATCAAGGTGATTTTCTAGCAGGGAAATCTGCTTTTTTGAATCTCTCAGGAGAAATAATAGGTTATTGTGAACAGTTGACACTTTACAACAAAGCACATGAAGGAAAAATATTACATGAAGGGCATGAATAATGTGTTTTGTAGGAAGACTTCTGATATTTTCCCCTTCATGTCCTTAAGGATCTTAGACATTAAAAGTATATACTCTGTATTATCTCAGGAAATTTTAGGTCAAGTCTGTATTATCTATTTAAGAAGAAAACTGTAACTGCCCTTAGAATTTCTATTTCTACAGTATGGAAGACTTTTATCCAAATAAAAATCATGGCCCTGACTCTGGAATTGGAAGTGATAATGGAGAGAAACGATTATCTACAACGGAAGTGAGTCTCTTCTATTAATTATCTATTTTACTTTAAAATTTTGTTAAATTTTTTGAAATAGGTACTTGTATGTACTTGGTGTATTTTGCTTAAAAATGAGATCATCATTGCATTTTATGATTTCCAATGAAAAAAGAACATGCACATTTTAAAAAGAATAGTAAACCTTAACATACTTACTTATATTTGACTTGAAAACTGGAGATGTAAAGTAGATATTCTACACATCATATATGAAATTAAAGCAGCTTAATCCTTATGTGTTTAAAATGCCTGATTTGTACTTTGTGCTTATTCCTTTCAGCCATCAGATGATGACACAATCAGCTTTCACTCTCAAGTCTCAGAATCAAACAGAGAGCAGACATTAAGAAATGATAATCACTCAATAGGAAGTAAACCTGATTCTCAGAAAGGTAATTTATATGATGTCTAGTATTTTCATTTCATGTACAATAACCTTATTAAAAATGGGCTTTGAAAAATTATAGTATATTTGGACAACTCTTATTGAGAAAATACACTTCTATTCTAAGTACTTACTATTCTGTCAGAGCACACTTTTTACTGTTCATATTTTCTAATAAATACTAATCTGTACTTAGACCAGGAGGTGTATGATTTTATTGACCCCAATACAGAAGATGTAGCAGTTCCTGAGCAAGGAGATGCACATATTGGATCGATTGTCCCTTTACTTAAGGTAAAGAAAACTTTGAGCAAATAATAACATATTCTCCCTTGATCTCACAGAAGTGCACCACACAATTTAAAATAACTTTCTTTCACATAAGGGAAAAGAAAAAGGTCTTGAAAAATCTCAGAAAAATGAAGAATTGGGAGATGAAAAAAGGTGAGTGCACACCAATTCTCAAATTGAAATATTACTTTTAAGTACTTGAAATATTCATTAGATATTCCTATTTGAAAAAATATAATGTATTTGTTCATTTACTTGTTATATTCACATAGTTTATTTGTAAATACTTTATCTGTCTGCATTCCTCAGTTAAACTGAAAATTATAGTAAGTATTTCAGCCGAGTGTAGTATGTACACTATTTTTCCTCCAGAAGTATAACAATGTCTCCATTATTATTACTGAGGAAGAAAAAATTGTATGGATTAAGGTTAAAAATATTTCAATATTCGATGATGAAATTTGTTAACCAGTGAGAAAAATAGAATGGTCTTTCATGTACATTTGACTGTACCTTCACATACAGCTTGGTTTGAACTGTTTAACAGCTATGTAAAATGGTAGTATTAGCATCATTTGACCAATAAGAAAACTGAGACCAGCAAGAGTTTCAAATGTCTTAACTCAGGTGTTCTGACTCTTGGTCTAATACACAATCCATTTTTTTCAGAGTGATTATGGGAATTCAGAGTATTTACTTCATTTATCTTACAAAATGATGGAATATGACCTACTACATTTTTCAGTCACTCCTTCAAGATGCTTTATTGCTGTGCGAAAATGAAGCATTTTTGAATATGTGCCATGTACCAGGATTTGTGCTACATGCTTCCCATATTTCTTATTTAATCTTCACTAAATCCTACAGGGTAGATACTGTCCCCATTTTTACAGATGAGGAAGGTGAAGCTCAGAGACTCTAAAGTTCATTAACTATAACCACTGAGACTACTGTCCCAACAAAAACCTAGGGTGTTAACCTAGCTATCTCTGATCCCTGTGCTTTTCTCTTTTTCTCATTGTGCTTCCTCCAGACAACTTCATTGGTAACTTAAAAAAAATTTTTTTTATTAAGTTGTCATTAATATACAATCATGTTTTTCATTAAGTTATCATTGATATGCAATCTTATGAAGGTTTCACATGAGCAAAATTGTGGTTACTACATTGACCCATATTATCAAGTCCCGCACACACACCCTATTGCAATCACTGTCCATCAGCATATTAAGATGCTATAGAATCACTACTTGTCTTCTCTGTGCTATACTGCCTTCCCCGTTACCCCCTACATTATGTATGCTAATCATAATGCCCCTTAATCCCCTTCTTCCTCCCTCCCCACCCACAAACCCACCCTACCCTCTTCCCCTTGGTAACCACGAGTCCCTTCTTAGAGCCTGCAAGTCTGCTGTTTTGTTCCTTCAGTTTTGATTTTTTGTTATACTCCACAAATGAGTGAAATCATTTGATACTTGTCTTTCTCCGCCTGGCTTATTTCACTGCACATAATACCCCCTAGCTCCATCCATGTTGTTGCAAATGGTAGAATTTGTTTTCTTATGGCTGAATAATATCCCATTCTGTATATGTACCACCTCTTCTTTATCCATTCATCTATGGTTGCTACCATATCTTGGCTATTGTAAATAGTGCTGTGATAAACATAGGGGTGCATATGTCTTTTTGAATCTGGGATCTTGTTTTCCTCAGGTGAATTCCTAGGAGTGGAATTCCTGGGTCAAATACTATTAGTATTTTAAAATATTTTGAGGAACCTGCATATGGCTTTTCACAATGGTTGAACTAATTTACATTCCCACCAGTAGTGTAGAAGGGTTCCTCTTTGTCCACATTCTTGCCAGCACTTGTTGTTCCTTGTCTTTTGAATGTTGACCATCCTAACTGGTGTGAGGTGATATCTCATTGTGTTTTTAATTTGCATTTTCCTCATAATTAGCAATGTGGAGCATCTTTTTGTGTGCCTGTTGGCTATCTGAATTTCTTCACTAGAGAAGTATCTGTTCAGATAAGTCACCCATTTTTTTAATTGGGTTATTTGCTTTTTGGGTGTTAAGGCTTGTGAATTCTTTATATATTGTGGATGTTAACCCATTGCTGGATATGTCATTTATGAATATATTCTCCCATACTGTAGGATGCCTTTTTGTTCTGCTGAAGGTGTCCTTTGCTGTACAGAAGCTTTTTAATTTAATGTAGTTACATTTGTTCACTTTTGCTTTTGATTACCTTGCCTGAGGAGATTTGTTCAGAAAAAAAGTTGCTAATGTTTCTATTTAAGAGATTTTTGCCTATTTTCTTCTAAGTTTTATGGTTTCATGACTTACATTCAGGTCTTTGATCCATTTTGAATTTACTTTCGTGTATGGAGTTAGAGAGTAATACAGTTTCATTATCTTCCATGTAGCTGTCCGGTTTTGCCAACACCAGTTATTGAAGAGGCTGTTGTTTCCCCATTGTATATCCATGGCTCCTTTATCATGCATTAATTGGCCATGTATGTATGGATTTATATCTGGGCTCTCGATTCTATTTCATTGATTTTGGGTCTGTTCTTGTGCCAGTACCAAATTGTCTTGATTACTGTGGCTTTGTAGTAGAGCTTTAAGTTGGGGAGTGTAATCTCCCCAGTGTTATTCTTCCTTCTCAGGATTGCTTTGGCTATTCGGGGTCTTTTTTGGTTCAATAGGAATTTTAGAACTATTTGTTCTAGTTCATTGAAGAATGCTGTTGGTGTTTTGATAGGGATTGCATTGAATTTGTAAATTGCTTTTGGCAGGATGGCCATTTTGATAATATTAATTATACCTATACATGAATATGGGATAATTTCCATTTATTGGTGTCTTCCTTAATTTCTTTCATGAGTGTCTTGTAATTTTCAAAGTATAGGTCTTTCACCTCCTTGGTTAGGTTTATTCTGATGTGTTTTATTCCTTTTGATTCAGCTTTAAATAGAATTGTTTTCCTGATTTCTCTTTCTGCTAGTTTGTTGTTAGTATACAGGAATGTCACATATTTCTGTGCATTAATTTTGTATCCTGAAACTGTTCAATTCAGTTATTAATTCTAGTAGTGTTTTGGTGGGTTCTTTAGGGTTTTCTGTGTACAATGTCATGTCATCTGCAAACAGTGACAGTTTAACTTCTTCCTTAGCAATCTGGATGCCTTTTATTTCTTTTTGTTGTCTGCTTGCCTCCAGTACTATGCTGAATAAAAGTGGAGAGAGTGGGCATCCTTGTCTTGTTCCCAATCTTAAAGGAAAAGCTTTCAGCTTCTCCCTGTTAAGTATGATGTTGGCTGTAGGTTTGTCATAGGTGGCCTTTATTATGTTGAGGTACTTGTCCTCTATATCATTTTGTTGAGAGTTTTTATCACAAATGGATGTTGAATTTTGTCGAATGCTTTTTCAGCATCTATGGAGATGATCATGTGGTTTTTGTCCTTTTTGTTCATGTGGTAGATGATTTTGATGGATTTTCTAATGTTGTACCGTCCTTGCATCCCTGGACCTACTTGATCAGGATGGATGATCTTTTTGATGTATTTTTGAATTCGGTTTGCTAATATTTTGTTGAATATTTTTGTGTCTATGTTCATCAGGGATATTAGTCTGTAATTTTCTTTTTTTGTGGTGTCTTTGCCTGGTTTTGGTATTAGAGTGATGCTGGCCTTGTAGAATGAGTTTGGAAGTGTTCCCTCCTCTTCTACTTTTTGGAAAACTTTAAGGAGGATGGGTATTAGGTCTTCACTAAATGTTTGAAAAAATTCAGCAGTGAAACTAACTGGACCAGCTGTTTTGTTCTTAGGTAGTTTTTGATTACCAATTCAGTTTCATAGCTGGTAATTGGTCTATTCAGATTTTCTGTTTTCCTGGGTCAGTCTTGGAAGGCTGTATTTTTCTAGAAAGTTGTCCTTTTCTTCTCGGTTATCTACTATGTTAGCATATAAGTTTTCATATATTCTCTGATAATTCTTTGTATTTCTGTGGTGTCTGTAGTGATTTTTCCACTCTCATTTCTGACACTGTTTATGTGTGTAGACTCTTTTTTTCTTGATAAGTCTGGCTAGGGCTTTATCTATTTTGTTTATTTCCTCAAAGAACCAGCTCCTTGGTTCATTGATTCTGTTGCTTTATTCTTCCCAATTTTAATTATATCTGCTGTGATCTTTGTTATGTTCATCCTTCTGTTACCTTTAGGCTTCCTTGATTATTCTTTTTCTAGTTTCATTAATTGTCAGTTTAGACTGTTCATTTGGGATTGTTCTTCTCTCCTGAGGTAGGCCTGTATTGCAATATACTTCCCTCTTAGCATGGTCTTTGCTGCATCCCACAGACTTTGTGGTGCTGTTATTGTTTTCATTTGTCTCCGTATGTTGCTTGATATCTGTTTTTATTTGGTCATTGATCCATTAAGTATTTAGGAGCATGTTGTTAAGCCTCCATTTGTTTGTTGGCTTTTTTGTTTTCTTTGTGTAATTTATTTCTGGTTTCATACCTTTCTGGTCTTTTAAGCTGGTTGGCATAATTTCAATCCTTCTGAATTTGCTGATGCTCTTTTTATGGCCTTGTATATGATGTATTCTTGAAAATGTTCCATGTGCACTTGAGAAGAATGTGTATCCTGCTACTTTTGGGTGGAGTGTTTTGTGGATATCTGTTAGGTCCATCTGTTCTAATGTGTTGTTCAGTGCCTCTGTCTCCTTATTTATTTTCTGACTGGTTGATGTGTCCTTTGGTGTGAGTCATATGTTGAAGTCTTCTAAAATGAATGCATTGCATTCTTCTTCCCACTTTAATTCTGTTAGTATCTGTTACACATATTTGGGTGCTCCTCTGTTAGGTGCATAGATATTTATAATGGTTATATCCTCTTGGGCTGACCCCTTTATCATTGTGTAATGTCCTTATTTGTCTCTTGTTACTTTCTTTGTTTTGAAGTCTATTTTGTCTGATACAAATACTGTAACTACTGCTTTTTTTCTCCCTTTTATTTGCTTGAAGTATCTTTTCACATCCCTTCACTTTCAGTCTGTGTATGCCTTTGGGTTTGAAGTGAGTCTCATAGGCTGCATATAGATGGGTCTTGCTTTTTTATCTGTTCAGTAACTCTGTGTCTTTTGATAGGTGCATTCAGTCCATTTACATTTCGAGTGATTATTGATAGATCTATATGTTTTGCTATTGTAGCCTTTTGATACATGGTTACCCAAGGTTGAAGGATAGCTTCTTTACTATCTAACTTAACTCAGTCTAACTTAACTCAGTATGCTATTTCAAACACAATGTAAAGGTTCTTTTTTTCCTCTCTCTTCTTTTTCTTCCTCCTCCACTCTTTATTAGGTGTCATATTCTGTGCTCTTTGTGTGTCCCTTGATTAACTTTGTGGGTAGCCAACTTAATTTTGCATTTGCTTAGTAATTAATTGGTCTGCTTTCTTTGGTTTTATTTTCTCTTGTCACAGCTATTTAGCCTTAGGAGTACTTCCATCTATAGCAGTCCTTCCAAAACACACTGTAGAGATGGTTTGTGGGAGGGAAATTTCCTCAACATTTGTTTAATCCCTGCTTCAAATTTAAATGATCATGTTTCTAGGTAGAGTATTCTTTGTTCAAGGCCCTTCTGTTTTATTACATTAAATGTATCAGGATTTGAATGTTTTCCTGTAGCTCCGTGAGCATGTTCTGATTTTTATTTTGAAATCCTTATCAAGAAGATTGGTGATTTTCGTTTCACTGAGCTGTCTTTCTGGTGTTTGTGGGATTTTGGTTTGTACCAGGTTCTTTTGCTGTTTCGTGTTTGTAAGGATTACTATGGAATAATAACAGGCTACTCCCTTCTGGCCTGTAAAGTTTCTGCTGAGAAGTCTGATGATAGCCTGATGGGCTTTCCTTTGTATTTGGTCTTTTTTCTCTGTGGCTGGTTTTAATACCCTGTCCTTTTCCTAGATCTTTTCCATTTTAAGTATTAATATGTCTTGGTTTTGTCTTCCTTGGGTCCCTTGTGTTGGTAGATTTGTGCACTTCCATGGCCTGAGAGACCATTTCCTTCCCCAGATTGGGAGTGTTTTCAGCCATTATTTCCTCAGAGAGACTGTCTTTCCTTTTTCTTTCTCTTTTTCTGGTACTGTATAATGCAAGTATTGTTCTGTCTGGATTGGTTACACAGTTCTGATCATTCTTTCATTCCTAGAGATCCTTTTTTCTCTTTGCCTCAGCTTCTTTGTATTTCTGTTCTCTAATTTCTACTTCATTTATCATCTCCTCTACCTTATCTAATCTTTTAAATCCCTCCATCCTATGTTTCATTTCTGGTACTGTATTTGCCAAAGTTTCTATCTCTTTCTTGACATCTTCCCTGAGGTTTTGAATACTTTTCTGTAGCTCCATGAGCATGTTTATGATTTTTATTTTGAAATTCTTATCAAGAAGATTGGTGATTTTAGTTTCACTGAGCCATCTTTCTGGTGTTTGTGGGATTTTGGTTTGTACCAGGTTCTTTTGCCATTTCGTGTTTATAATGATTACTGTGGAATAATAACTTTGTGTAGCCAGCACCCTCTAGTGAACAGAAACTCTACTCTCTGTAGCTGCCTAGATTCTGTAGTAATGGTGGGGTTTGAAGGTGAGCAGTGCTGGTGTCTGCCTGGATGAAATAGCTCTTGAGTGCTTTCTGGCCGTAGTGTCTGCCTCCACTGCCAGGGTCAGTGGGCCGAGCATCTAGGGAGTATCCTCTGCGTTACTTCCCTGTAGCTGCTGTAGGGGGGCCACACTCTGACTGCCTGGTGCCATAGTGGTACTAGCAGGTTTGTGAACCAGTGTTGGCTGGGAGGAAGAAGCAGCAGGCTGTGTATCACAGTGGGAGGCCTTGGTGCCCTTTGCCAGGCAGGGGTTTACAGTGCCTGAAGCTCCTGAAAGTTCCCAGTATGCTTGACTGTGTGCGTTGGGATGATTTTGTCCACCTGCCTTTTCTACTGAGCAGGAAGCTCTGTGTAATCCTTGCCCTTTTGGCACCCCTCTCACCATTGGGAAGTCTTTCAATGTACCTGCCTTTCTTATATTAGTTGTGTTTGCTTGTATTTTCATATTATATATGGTTTTGGGAGGATGTTACTATCTCAGTTTTCACACTGTCATGTTTATGCCTCGGCGTACATACATCTTTTCAAATCAGATTTTGTTTTTTGGGGGTATATTCCTAGAAGTGAGTTTACTGGGTCATATGGTGTTTCTATTTTTAGTTTTTTGAGGAACCTTGATACTGCCGTCTATAGCGACTGCATCAATTTACTTTCCCACCTAAAGTGGAGGAGGGTTCTCTTTTCTCTACATCCTTGCCAACACTTGTTATTTCTTGTCTTCTGGATAGTGGCAATTCTGACACATTTGAGGTGATACCTCGTTGTGGTTTTGATTTGTATTTCCCTGATGATTTGCAATGTGGGCGGCAGATTTCCTTATCAGTGCTGGTCAGCAGGAAGGAGTGTCAGGCTTCTTATCACAGTGGGGGTCCTCGGTGCTATGGTACTACGCTGCTAGCCAGTGGGATGGAGCATCTGAATCTCCTATAATTTCCCAACCTGCTGGGCTTAGTGTGCCTATACCAATTTGTCCACCTCCCTTTTCTCATGAGTAGCAAGCTCTGTGTAATCTTTGACCCTTTGGCACCCCTCTCGCTATTGGAAAGTCTTTCAATGTAACTGCCTTTCTTTTGTGCCAGAGCAGCTGGTTGTGGGAACCTGTTCTCCTCAAGCAGCTGGAATCTCAGTCTCTCTAAGTATTGTGTCTATCTTTGCTTTCCAACCCCACTAATCTCCAGAGCACTGTGTAATGTGGGTTTGTGCTTTTGGAGCAGATATCCAGGGCTGGGTGTTTAGCAGTCCTGGGCTTCTACCTCCTCCCCACTCCACTTCTCTTTCTCCTGCTGAGCTGGTGTTAGGGGAGGGCTTGGTTCCTGCAGGGTGTCGGCTATACTACTGTACCCTTTTCTGTGAGGTCTTCTCTTCCCCATATGTAGGTAGTCTGTTTTGCAGCCTTCAGGTCATTCTTTCAGGATTTGTTGTATTTGCTGTGTATTTGTGTTTTATGTGATTTCAGTAGGAGGTTTCTACATCAATTCTCATGCCGCCATCTTTTTTCCCCTTGGAAATGTGAAAATCTCTTATTGGTAACTTTTTCAGCAGTTGTTAGTCATTTCTGATATTTTAAGGAGTTACATTGCTTTGTATTGTACTTTTTAGATTTAATTTCTCTTGCTTTCTCACCTTATCGCATGAGGAGAGTTGCCTGAACTTGAGAGTCACCATTGGCATGCAAGAAATGATAAAGATAGAAAACATAAGGGTTTGATTTTTTTTTAAAAATGAAACACTTTGGGATAAAATTACTAGAGTTTGGAGAACAATTTGTTTTAATGTTCCTTTGTTGTCTTTGAATGGTAACAACTCTATATTTAGTAGATATTATTCAGTAAATTTGCCAGTCTTATCTGAATCTATTTTGCATTTCTTCTCAAACATTTTACATGGATTTTTAAAATAAAAATGAATAAAGTGATAAAAGCAGGATGGTTTAATAAAAAGAGAAATTGTCATTCCTTTTATACTCAGGCTATAGAGAGCTCTGTGGTCCTCATTACACTTTTGACTGGAAAGTGTACATCATTAAATTACTATGGCCATTACACATTTCAGCACTTGCAAAATGATACTACAGTTTACTTTGTTTTCCATTAATTTTGTTAATATAACCAGTGTTCCACACTTTGTATTGAGGATAAAGGGTAGATGTGTTTTTTTATTCCCTATTTGTTATTTTAGCATTTAAATATAGGAACATTAGGATTTTAGCTTTCACAAAAAATTGTTTCCACTTTTGAAAACTTGCATAAAATATAATCTGTCTTAGTTTTTGACTGACTATGTTTATGTTACCTTTCAGACTTATGGAAGAACAGCTACTTGCCGAGGAAGACGATGATGATGTGAAGGAAGTAACTGATTTGAGGAAAATTGCTGCTCAACTATTGCAGCAAGAGCAGAAGAACAGGTATATTTTTTAGTAATGAGATTTAAGTAGGCAGATTTTATAATCATTAAATCTGATTATTTAAATATATAAAATAAAGTATATGAAATTTCCAGTAAATAGGATCATCTTAAGATCTCTTTCAAGGGACTAAGTTTTAAATTAAACACAATAGGCAATACTTAAGAAACAAATATAAAGTTAAATATACAATTGACAGGTACTTTATACTCACAGTCATTGTATTTACTTATTGTTTAGTTATCTTTCTTATTCATATGTGCTAAATAACTGATTTATTTGTTGATATTCATTTTAGGTCACAGTAGTGTTAGATAACATTATAAGCATTTTTTCCCCAAATATATATCATGTATATAGTGTTGTTTTTTTTTTTTTTCTTATGAGGTTCTGAATTACTTGGGCTATGTGTAACTCCTTAGGATCAAATTGAATTATATGGTGGTTGATTAAATCAGTGTGATAATTTGAGGGTCACAGATTCACTTTTGTCTGTCTGTTCAAGGAGCATTGCTCCCTCTGAGTAGGCTTTTTCCAAATACATTGTCATTGGCAATGAGGAGGATATTGTGTGAATGAGCGTTAACAATTAATGTAAATCCATTTTTCATGCAGGAAACGTTCTGTGTGCTGCTGAAGGTCTGCTATTACTGCCATCTTCGTGTACTGAGAGTACAGCATTTATAGCTTTGAAATAATTAAGATCTGAGACAGTTTTTGTTGTTGAAAAAATTAAAAGAGTAATTTTTGTATAGTCAACATGGATAACTAATAAGTATTTTATTTCTCTTTTTAAAACAATAAATGTTTGTGGATCACATGGCCATGTTTTGTGATGTTTAAATAACTCACATTTGCTTAAGTATGCTTTGAAAAATAATTACTATTAAAACTTTTCAATGACAAGTATATGGTTTTAAGGGGTACTTTAAAAAATAGTCACTAAATATCTTCTTTTATATAGACACTCTATTTATAGAATTAAAAAACATGCTAGGAAATAATCACTCATTTTTATACCTTCTGTATTTAGTGTATCCTCATTCCCAGTTCACATTTTTCTTCTACCATAACTTTCTGTAATATTTATCTTCTAATTTTTTCCTGTGATTCATTTCTAATAGGCCTTTTTTTAATTGGTTACTTATTGACCTTTTCTTAAATTATCTATTTGTGTTTGTTTTTTCCCCTCTGGTATAATCAAAGTATTGCTCCATGTCTACGATTTAAGAGATTTAATGAAGTAAGCCACCACCTGTGCAGCTTAAAAAAATTGTTGAGTTTTTATCTCTTCTACCTGGCAGGCGAAAGAATTAAATTTATCATTATGAGCAGAGAATACTGATTTTGTAAAACCCACAATATACCTTTCTCTGATTGTGTTAAGAATAACATTTGAGTGCCTAATTTCAGATTTTAACATTGCGATAGATAATGTTTCTATATCTTCAATTTTCTACTATTGTATTATTTTAAATTTATCCCTGAGTTGAGTTATTCTTTCTAGCTTAGGTACAACATCAAATAATATATCATAGGTCTTGTTTTTGTGATAGTTTTTAATAAGTACAAAACAGCCCCTTACCCTTTGTGTTGTACATAGTAGGTACTCAGTAATACTGTTAAATTGTTTGATTGCTTGAAAATGAGATGAGCAGATTGAAAGCTTATAGAAGCCATTAACTTAGTATGCCTTCTTTAAAATAACTTCTATTATTTTTTGGCAGTTATGCAAAAGTATTTTGTTTTTCTCTAATGCTTCTGTTTGTCTTTTCAGATGTTAGTACACATGAAAATAGTTCTTTTTGGGTTAAATATTAATATGAAGTGACACTAATGCTGTAATAATTATGCCTACTTTTTTAAGGCATTGAAATATTTATGGTGTCTGATCATAAAATAAGGAGTACATTTTACCTTAAAATTTAGGATCTATATAAGATAATTTAAATTAGATCCCTGGCCAGTTCTGGTAATGGCTGAACTTAAACTGGTCTCAGAATTGTATTTTCCCGAGCCTAAGTATTTTATCCATTAAAATGATCTCTTCCCTTGTAAAATATGTTGTAGTTGTTCACATCTCTTAGAAGGAGATAATTAAAAATTTTTGTGTAATGTTACAATACTTGAATTTGTGTGCATCCAAAAACATCAGAAATAATCTTGTATATGGATATATCCTTAGAGGAATTGATGTAATTTGTACTTTCTCTGGGTTGTAGATTTTCCCTTTCATATTGTATTGCATTTTAGATTCCAACTTTATTTATTTATTTTTTTTGAGAGGGCATCTCTCATTTATTGATCAAATGGTTGTTAACAACAATAAAATTCTGTATAGGGGGGGTCAATGCTCAGTGCACAATCATTAATCCATCTCAAGCCTAATTCTCGTCAGTCTCCAATCTTCTGAAGCATAATGAACAAGTTCTTACATGGTGAACGAATTCTTACATAGTGAATAAGTTCTTACATGGTGAACAGTACAAGGGCATTCATCACAGAAACTTTCGGTTTTGATCACGCATTATGAATTATAAACAATCAGGTCAAATATGAATATTCGTTTGATTTTTATACTTGATTTATATGTGGATCCCACATTTCTCCCTTTATTATTATTATTATTTTTATTTTTAATAAAATGCTGAAGTGGTAGGTAGATGCAAGATAAAGGTAGAAAACATAGTTTAGGGTTGTAAGAGAGCAATTGTAGATGATCAGGTGTGTGCCTGTAGACTATGTGTTAATCCAAGCTAGACAAGGGCATTAAAACATCCAGATACAGAAGATTTCTCTCAAAACGGGTGGTGAGGTTCTAAGCCTCACCACTGTTGATCCCCAATTTCTCACCTGATGGCCCCCCTGTGACTTTGCCTGTCTTAGGTTGTTCCTCCCTTGAGGAATCTTACCCATTTCTGGCTAACCAGTCATCTTCCAGGGCCATACAGGGAAATGTAAAGTTGGTAAGTGAGAGAGAAGCCATATTGTTTGAAAAGGTTAGCTTTTTACTTCTTTGCAGATTTATGCCCTGTGGCTTCTATGCCCAGCACTTGTCTCGAGGTATCTTTACCACCTGGAGGAATTATGATGCTCAGTAAATTCAATATGAGGCACGAATTCTATTTAAGGGTTGTAATTAGGAAGGAAGAAGAAAAGCTATAGAGGTAGCATATGGAAGAAAACATGGGAGGATTGATTATTTCTTTGACATATCTTCTTGTAGAATACCTTAAGCATATATAGGTTTTTAACTACTAACTTACTTGCGCACACATATTAACATAATAGGAATACGGTGACATAAACTAAGCAAATCTATAATTACCAGCCATCTCCAGTGAAGCCAAGAAAACCAGTTAGGCACCCTAGGCATTTGTGAGAATTTGTCTATGATATGATGGATATTGTCCAACTGTACTTGAACAGTCTGAGAGAAATCAGACAAATTAAAGCAACCCATTTCTGGGATCTGTTCACATCCCATATGTTCTTTTAACCATAGATAGTCTATAGTCGTAAGATTTTGGAGTGCTACAACTTGCACCCCTCCCAACTCCTGGTTGAGTTCCAACAGTACAGATCTGGTCAAATTCTTTGTCTCATTGTATGCACATGCCAGCCTAGACATCTCCCTCCTCGTTCCAGTGGCAAGTCCAGGAAACGGTGGGATGGACGCAGCCACAACCGCAGCATCGCCCGGATCCCTGTGGAGGGTTTTTGATGATCATCCCCTGGCACGTGTCCTCCAGAGAGTGCTGATGCTGGAAGCTCCTCCTCATATCGTATCTTAGTTCATTTTCTGGGTAGCCAAGCTAGTCCTTGATCTTCTGCATAAAAACAAACAGACCTTTTGCCCACACTTTGACATGCCTTCTATACCACTGTGTAGAACTCATTGGAGGTCAGCACACAGGAACTGCTTTTTTTTTTAATTTTTATTAAGAGAAAGGAATATTATCAGAGAAGAGTACCTCCATAGCCGATCATCTTACACCCTTTAAGTGATCAAAATTAAGGATCTTTAAAGCATGCGTTATAGATTCCAACTTTATTAATGAAATATCTGAAATGGTATTTAAAATTGCAGTTCAATGAGGAGTTGTAATGTTTCTTTTTAGGTTTTTTTCAGTCATTGTAATGTTTTTGTTTGGTTGTTATTAGTCTTGATTTAAAATAATTTACCTGGAGTAAGATTATGCTTGCATATCAGAAAGTACCACCTATGACTCCTACTTTGACTTTATGTTACTTAACTGTTATTTAGCTAGCTATTAGTTGAGGTAAATGCAGAATTAGCTCTCAGCTAAAAGTAACCTTGCTATGTACTCTAAAATTAGAGGCAATTAAAAAACTGTTTATGTTGAGCTTAGTGTTGACTTTCTTGAAGATAGCTTGCCACTTGTTTAGGTCATATTACTAAAAATAATCATTAAATTGGTAGTAGCACCTGGTGGATGAAACTATCTTAGAAAAGTAACAAGACAATATTGTGTAGAATTAATAATCAAAAAGGTGGGAAAAGAGATCAACAAATAAAGTAGATAACTCTTTAGTGTTGAAAGTCTGAAGCCTAGTTAGTTAGAACACTGCATCCTCTTTGCATAATTGAGATGTATACATTAAACTACTTTGCATTAGCAGTTTATTATTCAGGTTTTTTTATTGTTGAAATTTTAAAAGGTAATCATTATCCCCTTGTCAAAGTATCATGTTGTTTCTACTTGGATTTGAGTTCCTTGAAGTCTCCCTCAATCAGTGACCTTGTCTGTGTTAAAATAGTTATTCCTTAAGTCATAATTTTATCACTATTATTTGGGAAATTTTAAAAATATATCATTTTAAATATCATTAATAAAGTTGCTTTGTAAATTATTTAGCCAGTTCTTAAAATTTCCAGCAACCCTATTTACATATGTTAGTATTAAGAGAAGTGACTACTGCTCTTTTTCTTATACTGATTTTTAAGCTAGCTTATTAAGGTATGTTAGGTTGTCATCCTAAAGAAACAGTAATAATATATGTGGGCTTTGCAGTGAATAGCTTCAGCTGACTGGTTTTGATTTCATGTTCATTCCAGCTAACTTATTCTGTAGTATTTTCCATTATGTCTTTCCTTTTAATAATTATTTTATTCGCTTTTAGGTGTGTCCCAAGAGTATTTATTGTGGGAAGATGTATTTCTGAGAGCTTTGTAATACGGATAAATAAAAAAATAATTATGAAAAGTCATATTGAAATACAGTAAGGATCATGGAAAGTAAAATCAGATTTTGAGTTTATTTTTGGTTTAAAATTACAGATATTATGTACATTAATTGTTTTCACATGATTTTTTTTCCTGATCATATGAACATTCAAATTTGAGGAGTATCATGTTAACCTCTAGCTTGTTATATAACTAATTAAGTAGTTCTCTGAACCCTTCAAATCTATCCATTCTTTATTTTCTGCTTGCTTTACTAATGACTTCCCTGTCCTCTCCCAAAACATCTTTCTTCTCCCATCTTTTGGTTTGGTTGATGTACGTGAAATGTGAATACAGATGGAAGCTTTTATGTTATAGAGCATCATTCAGTGAAAAACTCTTCCAGAGGACCAGAGCAGCAGGACGTGCATCAAGGTATCTAGAGTTTGTGGAAGCCTTAAGTATTAAGGGGCCAGGTTGACGCAGCTGAAATTTAGAGTCTTTTACTTAAAATACTGTACTGGTAACTGGATTAGGAAAGTATGTTAATAATCTAGGATGGATATTTAGATAAAACATTTATTTTAATGTTGAGTATCACAGACTAAAACATTAAATATCAATGTACACAGCAAAAAAAAAAAAAAGAATTGTCGAGTGTATAAAAATACCTAATAGGAAAGTGGATTTCAAGTTTTTTTTAAATTTCTGCTCTGTGTGACTTACACACATCAGTAATCACAATGCCAGTGAGTGTGGTGTGGGAATAATTCAGAATTTACTTTAGTGCAGGGCTTTCAGTTTGACTTGCCTCCTCCCCTGCAATAATTTTGACATTCCTCCCTGGTATAGTTCTTGCCGCTATGTCTTTTTTTTCAAAATCACTCTTTAAAGATACACTGTTTTTCCTAATCATCTTAGTTTATTACCTTAATTCTTCTGCATTTGGGAATTCGGTGCACTTCAGTGTGCACCCAACACAAGAATAAAGGTGGTGTTAATCTTGAAATTGATGGGTGCAAAGTTACTCTGCTTTGCCTGTGATACTTGTTCTTTATTCCTCACTGTGACTTCCTCCTAGGAGGCTCTAATACATAAAAGTTAGGAAACCAGGGTAAAGGAATTGGTTTCTTTATGTTAACCATCTTCCTGTAATCACTAACATATATAGTTCATTATATATACCAGTTATTAATATGTAGCTTTAATTTGAAATTCTTTTCTATATTCTTTTGATAGTTGCTATCTGGAGATTTTTTGAATAAAAGGCAGATATTTTACTCCATTATAAAAGTAAAGTTCAAAATTGAAAACTAAGTTACGTTTATATTTTTAGTGAATAAATGTTAAAAACTCGTATTATAGTTACAAAGGTTAAAGAGTTAATAATTCATTACTTTTGACTTTGAGATGAGTACTTAGAATTATATGAAGTCATACACAAATACTTCTTCAATATGATGGTTTATTATTCTTAGTTTTACTTCTTTTGCTTCTCCAAATAACATTTCATTTAGTTATTTAAAGTTTGATAAATGTGTGCTTTTTTTAAAGAGTTGAACTTTAGCACTGGGTTTTCAGTTAGAATTAAAATTTATTGTTTGGCTTTTTGCAAAATAATACCTGTTACATCAACATAATGCATATCATCGCTGTACTGGGAAAACAAAGTCAGTCATGGTACCTAAACAATCTGTACTTCTTTATCTTCTGTCTCAGCGAAAAGTTAGATATGCACAGGGCAATAGCTTGGCTAGAAGATTTCCAAGCCTTGAGGAAGGGCTTATAAAAGAAGATTCATGGAAGAGTTGGAGAGCATCATTCCTTCATAATAGCCAGTGCAATTATGGACATCTGATCTAAATAATATTTAAATATTATTTTCTAGCAAAGATCTTCATGGACCACATGCAGTATACTATGGAGATCTTTTATATCATGTGGATACACTTTTTAATAAATTTTGAATTTAATATGTTCATTTGCTCCTAGAATTCTTAATCATTCAACTTCTGTCCCAAGAAACAAGCCAAAACAAACTGTGGAATGTGAAAAGAGGTATAAAAATATCTTAGTCCTTGTATTTAGTATTTGTTTAAATTAAAATATTGTTAATGTACAATCTTATTTTGGCTTCAATGTATATCACAGTGGTTCATCAGTCCCCGTGATCAACTTACATTGTAATTGCAAAGTGTTGTGCCCCTTTTTCCCTCTCTCACTCCCACCCCCGCAAGCCTGTCCTAACCCTGCACCTTGGTAACCACCAGTCACTTCTTAGTGTCTGTGAGTCTGCTGCTGTTTTTTTCCTTCTGTTTTGCTTTGTTTTTATATTCCACAACTAAATGAAATCATATTTGTCTCTCTGTGCCTGGTTTATTTCACTGAGCATAATACCCTCTAGCTCCATTCATGTTGTTGGAAATGGCAGGATTTCTTTTCTTTTTATGGCTGAATAATATTCCATTGTGCATATGTACCACATCTTTATCCATTCATCTGTTGATGGACACTTAGGTTGCTTGCATATCTTGGCTACTGCAAAGAGTACAGCGATAAACATAGGGGTGTATATATCTTTTTGAATGAGGTATTTTGTTTTCTTTGGGTAAATTCCTAAGAGTGAAATTACTGGGTCAACTGGTATTTCTATTTTTAGCTTTTTGAGGAACTTCTATACTGCTTTACAGAATGGTTGCATCAATTTACATTCCCACCAGCAGTGTAGGAGGTTCCTATTTCTCCACATCCTTGCCAGCATTTGTTGTTTCTTATCTTGTGGATAGTGGCCATTCCAACTGGCATATCTCATTGTGGTTTTAATTTGCATTTCCCTGATGATTAGTGATGTGGAACATCTTTTCATGTGCCTGTTGGCCATTTGTATTTGGAGAAGTGTCTGTTCAGATCCCCTGCCCATTGCTTAATCGGGTTATTTATTTTTTGTGGTGTTGAGGCATATGAGCTCTTTATATATTTTGGATGTTAACCTCTTATCAGATTAACATTTACAAATAAATTCTCCAGTACTGTAGGGTGCTTTTTCTCTTCTGCTGGTGGTATCCTTTGCTGTATACAAGCTTTTTAGTTTGATGTAGTCCCACTTCTTCATTTTTTATTTTGTTTCTCTTGTCAAAGAAGATGTATCCAGGAAAAGTTGCCCATGATTATATTCAAGAGATTTTTGTATGTTTTCTTCTAAGAGTTTTATGGTTTCATGACTTACATTCAGGTCTTTGATCCAGTTTGAGTTGACTTTTGTGCATTGAGTTAGACAATAATCCAGTGTCATTGTCTTGTAGCTGTCCAATTTTGCCAACACCAGTTGTTAAAGAGGCTGCCATTTCCCCACTGTATATTCATGGCTCATTTATCATATGTTAATTGACCATATATGTGTGGGTTTATATCTGGGCTCTCTATTCTGTTCCATTAATCTGTGGGTCTGTTCTTGTGTGAGTACCAAATTGTCTTGATTACTGTGGCTTTGTAGTAGAGCGTGATGTCAGGGAGCCTCATTCCCTCAGCTTTGTTCTTGTTAGGATTGCTTTGGCTCTTTGAGGTCTTTTGTGGTTCCATATAAATTTTAGAACTACTTATTCTAGTTCATTGAAAAATGCTGTTGGTATTTGATAGGAACTGAATTGAATCAGTAAATTGCTTTAGGCAGGATGGCCATTTTGATAATATTAACTCTTACTATCATGAACATGGGATAGATTTCCATTTATTGGTGTCTTTTATTTCTCTCTTGAATGTCTTGTAGTTCTCAGAGTGTAGCTCTTTCACCTCCTTAATTACGTTTATTCCTAAGTATTTTACTCTTTTTTGATGCAGTTGTAAATGGAGTTGTTTTCCTGATTTCTATTTCTGCTAGTTTGTTTTTAGTATACAGGAATGTGATGGATTTCTGTGTATTGATTTTGTATTCTGTAACTTTGCTGAATTCAGTTATTAGTCCTAGTAGTTTTCTTGTGTATTCTTTAGGGTTTTTTTTATGTATAATATGTTATTTGCAAATAGTGACAGTTTAACGTCTTTTCTTTACAAATTTGGATGCCTTTTCTTTCTTTGTGTTGTCTGATTGGTGTGGCTAGGACTTCCAGTACTATGTTGAATAAAAGTGGGGAGAGTGGGCATCCTTGTCTTCTTCCCGATCTTAGAGGAAAAGTTTATAGCTTTTCATTGTTAAGTTCTATGTTGGCTATGGGTTTGTTGTATATAGCATTTATTATGTCGAGATGCATGCCCTGTATACCCATTTTGTTAAAGAGTTTTTATCATGAATGGATGTTGAATTTTGTCAAATGCCTTTTCAGTATTTGTTGAGATGATCATGTGGTTTTTATCCTTTTTGTTAATGTGGTGTATGATATTGGTTGATTTATGAATCAACTATATTTGATATATATAGTATAATAAGAATTATACTATACTTGCATCCCTGGAATAAATCCCACTTGGTCATGATTCATGATCTTTTGATGTATTTTTGAATTCGGTTTGCTATTATTGTGTTGAGGACTTTTGCATGTATGTTCATCAGGGATATTGGTCTATACTTTTCTTTTTTGTGGTGTCTTTGTCTGGTTTTGGTTTTAGAGTGATGCTGGCCTCTTAGAATGAGTTTGAAAGTATTTCCTCTTCTACTTTTTGGAATACTTTAGGAAGGATGGGTATTAGGTGTTCCTTAAGTGCTGTGAAGCCATATGGACTTGGAGTTTTGTTTTTTGGGAGTTTTTTGACTATCAGTTTGATTTAATTGCTCATAAATAGTCTGCTCAGATTTTGTTTCCTCCTGTGTCAATCTTGGAAGGTTGTATTTTTCTGCTTTTTTGTTTATGTTTGTACATTCTTCTTTTTCCTTGATACATCTGGCTAGGGATTTATCTATTTTCTCAAAGAACCAGCTCCTGTTTTCATTGATTTTTTCTCTTGTTTTATTCTGTATTTTTTTTATTTATTTCTTCTCTGATCTTTATTATGTCCCTCCTTCTACTGTCTTTGAGCTTCACTTGTTCTTCTTTTTTATAGTATTTTTAATTGTGCATTTAGACAGTTTATTTGGGGTTGTTCTTGTTTCTTGTGGTAAGCCTGTATTGCGGTGTACTTTTCTCTTAGATCTGCCCTTGCTGCCTCCCACAGATTTTGGGCTGTTGTGGTTTTGTTTTTGTTTGTCTTCATGTATTTCTTGATTTTTTTCTTTTAAAAAAGTTGTTCATTGAGCTGTTGATATTTAGAAGCATATTTTTTAGTCTCCATGTGTTCATTGGATTTTTAATTTTCTTTGTGTAGTGTATTTTAAGTTTTGTACCAATTTCCACATTTTTTAATTTACTTAGGCTCTTTTTGTGGCCTAGTATGTAATCTATTCTGGGAAACATTCCATGTACACTTGAGAAAAACATATGTCTTGCTGCTTTTGGCTGGAATGTTTTGTGTGTGTCTTGAGTCCATCTGTTCTAATGTGTTTAGTGCCTCTTTTTCTTTATTTTTTTCCTGTTTGATGTGTAGATGTATGTGTTAAAGTCCCCCTAAAATGAATGTGTTGCAATCTATTTCCCCCTTTAATTCTGTTAGTATTTGTTTTACCTATTTAGGTGCTCCTTCGTTGGGTGCATAGATAATTTATAATGATTATGTCCTTGTGCTGGACTGATCCCTTTATTATGTAATGTCTTTTTTTGTCTCTTGTTACTTTCTTTGTTTTGAAATCCATTTTGACTGCTAATCCTTTCTTTCCTCCATTATTTGCATGTAATATTTTTTTCCATCCATTCACTTTTGTCTGTGCTTGTCTTTGAGTCTGAAAAGAGTCTCTTGTAAGCAGAGATGGTCTTGTTTCTTTTTTCATTCATTCTGCTATCCTATGTCTTTTGATTGGTGCACTTAGTCCATTTATGTTTAATGTGATTATTGATAGATGTGTACTTACTGCATTTTTATTAATTGTTTTCTGGCTGTTTTTTTATAGCTCCTCTCTGTTCCTTTCTTTTCTTTTATACTCTTCTCTTGTTATTGATAGTTTTCTTTAGTGTTGTAATTGGGTTTCTCTTTTTCTTTAATTAATTTTTTGTGTGTGTGTATATATTGTAGGCTTTAGTTTTGTGATCACCAAAAGTTCAAGGATAGCTTCCTTACTGTGTAAGTCTATCTTATATTGGTGATTACTCTATTTCAGACACAAACTAATGGTACTTTTTTCTTCTTCCTCCTCCACATTTTTCATATTAGATGTCATAATCTGCACTTTTTGTGTATCCTTTGACTGATTTTGTGTACAGGTTTTTTGCTTCTTTTGTTTTAATTTTATACTTGCTTGGCAATTAGTTTGTCTACTACCTTAACTGGGTGTATTTTTACTGGTGAAAGCTATTTGGCCTTAGGGTCATTTACATCTATAGCAGTCCCTTTAACATATCATATAAGGCTGGCTTAGTGGTAGTGAATTCCTTCAACTTTTGTTTATCTGGAAGTTGTTTAAACCCAGCTTCAAATTTCAATGATAATATTTTCATGTAGAGGATTCTTGGTTGGATGTCCTTCTGTTTCAGTAAATAAAAAAAATGATGTCTCTCCCTTCTGGCCTGTAGAATTTCTCTTGATAAGTCTACTGATATCCTGACGGGATTTCCTTTATAAGTAATCATTTTTCTCTCTCTGGGTGCTTTTGGAACACTCTCCATAATTATTATGTGTCTTGGTGTTGTCTTCCTGTGGTTCCTTTTGTTTGGGGATCTCTGACCTTCTATGACCTGAATGTCTATTTTCTTCCCTAGACTGGGGACGTTTTCAGCAATTATTTCCTAAAAGAGACTTTCTGTCTCTTTGTCTTTTTGTTCTCCTTCTTGTACCCCTATTAAGAAAATACTATTTTTTATGGATTGGTCCCATAGCTCTCTTTGATTCCTAGAGATCCTTTTTTCTCTCTGTTTCTCAGCTTCTTTGTTTTCCTGTTCTGTAATTTCCATTTCATTTACTGTTTCCTGTACATGTTCTAATCTACTGTTAAATCTCATCACTGTATTTTTCATTTCAGATATTGTATTCTTCAGCTC